TCCTCCCTGGACTGACCTATCCCCTTCCTAACTCCCTACCTACACTCACCTTTCCTGGCCCCATCCCCGCCTCTTCGACCTGTTTGTTTCCTCTCCACCTATCCTCTCCTCTATCCCTCTTCTATCCGCCTCCCACTCTCTCCCTACTTATTTCAAAACCCCCTTCCCCTCCCCCTTTTCTAAATTTTTTTTCTGTCGACTTTAGGGACAATTACCTTAAGTTCACACCATTGTAGTTATTCAGTGCTGAGAATATGAAGGAGGAATGTTATCATACTTCCCTAGAAGCAGGGTTGTACCTCCAACAACAGCCCTCCAAAATGCAGAATTTAACTGCTTATGTACATACTCCAGAGGTTGTTGTCCAATTTACTCCATTATAACGATAAGTGCTAATAACCATTAATTTTTGTGCCAAAATTCAACAACAGTCCTATCCTCATTTCTCTAATTTGGATCTATTCATGTACAAGTGTAGATCTGAATAAAAGGGGAATCCTTTTAAAATTAAATACAAATTTGAGATGCACATTCTTGTAACCTCCATTACAGTGCAGGTTGAGAATTTAGGGTTGAGAACTTTTTTTTTTAAATTCAGTTCAGAAGATACCAGGGTTGAGTTTAAAAATAAGTCTAAGGGTAGTAGCTCAAGAAACAGGTCATCTCAGGAGAAGGGTTCAGTTTGTAAAACTTCAAAACCAGGAGAGATTAATTAGAAATCAGCAGCTTATTAGAACTGAGGTGGTTTAGGCTCAGAGTTGTGAAAAATTAACAGAGTGACTGATAGTCCAAGACAAAGAAACTATCAGCAGTTAGTTGAAGCCTGGAGTATTTCGATAAAGGCATAATCTCTCTGAATTGGAGTCACTGTAATCCTTAATGCCAGGAAACAGATTCAAACTTTGTTTTTGTTGTAGGAGTTAAGATTATTCAAACTGTCGAGTAAATGAGCAAGGAAGCAATGCTGAACTTGTGCAACACATTTGTTAAATCTACACTGGAGTATCGAACACAGTTCTAGGTGTCATACTAAGAAATGACGTAAATACATTGGAGACAGTGCACGAGAGATTTACAAAAATAGTGCCAGGAATGAGAAACTTCGGTTATGAGGATGGATTAGATTGGGATTGTTTGCTTTGGACAGAAGGCAAGGACAAGACCTGTTGGAAACTTTTAAAAAGTCATGAGGGAACTCGATAGAATACACAGGGTGAAACAGTTCTGTTCAGAACAGGATCAAGAATGAAAAAGCAAGGATGTACGTAAAAGAAGGAAGTGCAATGCAAGAGAGAAACTAAAAACTTCTCACATAATGGGAAGTTGTGGAATGTACTTTCTGGAAGTGTGGTGGAGACATGTTCAATTGAGACTAAAGGTATTGAATATTAATTAAATAGAAACAGTGGGCAGGATATGGGGAAAAAGCAGGAGAAATGGCACTAAGTTATGGTGTTCTTTTGGAGAACCAGTGCAAACACAATGGGCCAAATGGTGTCCTTCTGTCTGCACTGTAACACTTCTGTAATTCTGGCTTTGATATTTAGATAGCTTTGTTTCTTTTTCTTCCTTTGTGTATTGTACTTTGTTCTGTTGTTAAGGAATATCTGCAGCCACATTTTAATGTTTCAGTGACTAATTATACTCAAACGAAAAAAAAAATGCACTGCCAAGCCCAGTTTCCTTCTAGGATTTAACTTATCCAGTAGTGCCATCAGCTTGGATCGTAATATTGTACAAATATGATGTATATAAGCACCGTTCTTAGTTAAACTTGGGTTGGAACGGTCCAATTGTTATTGTTTAGATCTCATATTTCTGCGCATCTACAGTGTGCAATGTGAGATTGCCAAAAACTGTAACAATAATAATATGCAGGCAAGCAAGAAAAACAATCTTACAATTGACTCAAAATGGATTAGATTTACAAATATTTTAACAGAAATACATTTCACAACTTGGTCACTGATGTTTTCTTAAAAAACAAGATGCAGGGAAACGAATGTCTTTACCTACCAGAATCACAAAGATGATGTGCTGAAAGTGATTTCCCAAACCAGCAGCGTGGGTGCAAAACAGAGCAAAGTTATTCTGGACGAGCTGTGTGGTAAAGCAAATGTAGAAACATTATAGTCAGGTGATTTTGACATAAACCAGACTCTATGTAATGGACTCATGCAAGTGCTTTTCCTCACTTAACATAAAGCCCAACCGCAAACACTCAAGTTCCAGCGGGTATGTTTATTAGTGCTTAGTACCAATGGTAATGCAACAGGGATTTGAGGGACCTTGCCCTCACTCCAGGTGTCCCTTCTTCACAAGGAAACCGGGCAGTGCTAGTAGTAGGCATCCAGACAGAGGAGGAGCCAATATTTTTACCGGATTTGCCCCCAAGACTGACCGTGACCCACCCACTTAAGCGACTTGAATGGACAACCCTGACTGATGACTGATCAGACCCTGGACTGATCCCTGTGCAACTCCCTGACTGACTGACTGTATTGGATTGACGGGGCTGACCATGGCCCACTTCCTGAACTGTAGTGATTTAGGCCTCTGGCTCTGGCCACCCCAAACAGCTGAATGACCATGATTGATGTTGGAGGCTGCCCTTGACAAACTGTGCCAGGACCCCATGGCTGAAAGGTGCTTCCCTTGATTTGACTGAGGATTAATCTCTTTTGACTTTGAGACACGGCCATTTGCTTGTTCCACATTCATTGTGTTTGCATTTACACTGTTGAGGCTTGCTGTAAGTATGACATTGACGTAGCACAGGGCTGTTTGGCAGTATTTGCACTCACTTGACTGATGACTGGTGACAACCAGGACAAGCTGCCTGGTTTTGTGTCTGCTGTAAAAGGCAAGGCAAGACAGAAGTATTGTAAAAGGCTTTAAAACTTTGACAGTGGCGGAAAAGTGCAAAAAGGCAAGTCAAGGCAAGGAAATGCAGAACCATCTTGCATGTGGATCAGGGATGTGCTAAGACGGTGTGGTGCAGTTGGTACATGATGGATGTCAACATCCAAGGATGGGAGGTCTGTAGGGTCATCTGACCATGAAACATTCCCTGAGATGTTGGTGACTGGTGTAAAAATGGCGGTCTGGAGAAACAGGTGACGTGCTGGAGTTGCCAGGTATCTACTCTGAGTTTCATGTCTGGAATTGTCACGGTCTCGTTTTTAATCCAGTGGGTGGGAGAATGGGAAACTGCAAATAAAAGTAGTGAGATTAGCTAATAATCAGATGTTAAGAGATGCTAAAACATGCAAACGGGTCTCCTGTCAGTCACTAGTGAGAATCTTGTCTCACCATTCAACATTTAGTTGGAAAATAAGACTTATTGCTCGTCATTGAGAAGCTCCTCACAGCTGATCTCAAGCAATATTATTGCCCATGCCCATACCAGTCAGTGCCTGGGAAGATTCCATTCAAAATGTCAATGAGCTACACGTTCATAGGTTTTGGGGAGGTGAAACAAAGCAGATTTGTATCACAGTGGAATTCAATTCCGTCCTTACCCAGATGACAAACATACTTTTCTACAAAAGTCACTAGATAGCAATCGGGAAAATATATGAAAAGGATATTATATATTGTAAGGAAAGGAAACATTGGATAATTTTGACCTTCCTAACCACAGGATAAGGAGATACTGATGCTCTCACCACCATGTTTAGAGATGAGGAGTTCAGCACATGTAGCACCTGGAGCCCCCCATGTCAGGATTGTCTAACCCCAGCCTTTGGGGTGGATTTTGAACAGAATCAGAGAAATCAAAGGTCATAACGTTTACTGGGAAGTGTTTTAGTCTCATTGATGTTATTCCTATTTGTTATGCTTAAGGCACATTGGTTGAAAACTTATTAACCATCTTATTTTTATAAATGATACAAAAGTCTTAATGACCAATAAATGTTTCATTTTTTTTGGTTACCTGAAAAGCTAATGAGATAAATAAAAAGCCAAATGTCAGGCTTAGGTATGGCTTGTGACTCATTACCAGCTTCAGGCCTGTTACATATGACATATGGAAATGATCTTTTGGAGCAAAACATCCTGCAAAAAAAAAAAAAAATAACAAAAACAGCCGATATCAATATGCACTTGTGCTACCTTTAGAAATTTTATCAGAGATAGTAGGAACTGC